TACCTCTAGAATAAAAGAGGGACGGAAAACAATTCAATCTTAGCAGTAATATACAAGGTATATGGACCCAATGTAGAAATGACTGTAGCAAGTTAAAAAGGGAAAGAGAATACATCGATAGATTTCATGAATTTAGAGAATCATTGACTTTGGTGCTGCTAACAAACAGCTCTGAAAGAAGCATGAGACCAATGTGACATAATGTCTGAACATCAGGTCTAGTCTCATTGTTCAGTTAAAATCAATTACCAAGCTCAATTAGGAAAAGCTTATGTTTGAAGATTCTGTGGGAACATAATGAAAAGATATTTAAAACTCACCACTGTTAATCTGCTCCAATTGTAAGAGTGGTCTGACCCGCACCTGCCTAATTTCCTCATTACAAGTGCTGAAAGCTTGGAATTTAAACTGAACAGTACAGGATTATTATGCAGGGTTTCCATAATAGCAGTCCGGCATGGAATTATGAAAACCATTTAAAATGTTGCAAAAATTTTCTGTGATTCCACTGATCAGTTAACACATTAAGAAGGTCTGCAATGATGTTATGATTCTGAAAGGTTAAATCCAAGAAAGATTGAATACTAACATATGGGTACCTGCAACAGTGCACCTACATTGCAAATGGCATAATCTCACCTTGGAAACTTCATAATATAATTCAGTGAGACATTCCATAAAAAAAAAACTGTCTGGTGTGTCATGAAACTGTAACCATGGCAATAAATACACTGGACTTAGCAGCAATATTTAGTAAAACCTGATAAATCCAATTCAAATCTGTTGGGTGATTGTTTAATTGCAACATGAGCCCTTTCTATGCTGATTAGATCTAATACAGATATTCTCAACAGCCATGTTAAAATTTAAATTGAAATGCACAGTGAAGTGTTTGTGAATTATCTTATGAAAACAATGCCATCAGATTTTACATACTTTGCTAAATATTGTGGATCTGAAGAATATTGAACTCTCTGTCCAGCAGTAGTCTCTAATGGCATTAACAAATAAACAAGAGATGCAGGCAACGTTTTAATGATGTGAACAAAATTTTAATGATTCAGATTCTGCATAGATTTTTGGATTGATGGGACGTGAATGTCACTAGCTACACCAACATTTATTGTCCAGCCCTGAATGTACTTGAGAACTTGGTGGTGAGCTTCCTTCCTGAACAGCTATAGTACTTGAAGTGTAGAGACATACTCAGTGCTGTTAGGAAGGGAGTTGCAGCATTTTGACTTAGTAACAGTCAAGAAACAATGATATAGTTCCAAGACAGGAAGGTGAGAGTCTTGGAAGAGAACTTGAATGTGGTGGTGTACCGATACATCCTTCTAGGTGGTACAGTTCACATTTTTGGGAGATACTGTCAGAGGAGCCTTGGTGAATTACTGTAGTGCATCCTATAGATGGTATATAGTGCTGCCATTGTGTGTCAATGGCAAAGGAAGTGAATATTTACGGTGGTAAATGTTGTGCCAATCAGCAGCCAGCTTTGTCCTGAATGGTGTCAAGCCTGAGTGTTCTTGGACTGCACTTTTCCAGAAAAATGGGAAGCTTCTATGTCAGTCTTCATTTGTGCCTTGTAGATGGTTGATAGGCTGTGGGGTGACAGGTGAGTTACTCACTGCAGAATTCCTAGTCTTTGACCTTCAGTATTTATATGGCTGGTCCATGTCGTGATAGGTCTCAGAATCAGTATGGCTGAAGAGACATGCCCATGATATCATTATAACATAGTATATGACTTGAGGATATAAAGATCTCATACACCATTTTACCTTGGAATCCTTGAAATATGCCACTCTCGTGGAAGCATACAATCCTGACAGTGTGGAAGCAGGCCATTCAGTCCATCGAGTCTGTACTGCCCCTACAAAGAGCATCCCACCCAGACCCACCCTCTACCCTATCCCTTTCACCCTTCATTTCCCACAGCTAATCCACTTAGCCTGCACATCCCTGGAAACTATGGGAAATTTAGCACGGGGAGAATGTGCAAACTCCACACAGACAGTCACCTGAGGGTAGAATCAAACCCAGGACCCTGGCACTGTGAGGCAGCAATGCTAACCACTGACCCACCGTGCCACCCTAGGGGCATGTGCATGCTGCTCTCTTGCAACCGAATTGCCTAATGTAAGCCCAAGCACTTCTGTTCCTGTGGCATGTAATGTTTGCACATACTGCTTAGTTGGAATTGAATTCTTCAACTTGACAACTTCACAGAAGCAAAATTATCCTCCAATCTTGATGCCAAATATGGATGTGCGTCAGTCCCCATTAGCAGGGAATCTCAGGACGTCACAACCTTCACAAGAATCATTTGGAAAATATAGCTTCCAGATACGGCCTTGGGTTTCTCAGTCAAAATCTGTTCCAGCAGCATATGGGCGGAATTCAAGGAACCTCAATGTGCATGCATCACTGGCAATATCGTGATAATGGACAAAACCAAAGAGCTGTCAGAGGAGACTTGGTGAGCTAGTGAATCAATTAGATTCAGGACCACATGATAGGAACCTTGATTGACTGGCGGCAGTAGCACACCACGAATGTTTTAATTTCAACAGCAAGGAGTCCCAGGAGAATACAAACATGACCTTTTTTCTCTATAAAGTATATCCAGGTTGTGGAATCTGCATAGAATCAGGTAAAGTTGGAGATATGAGATAAATGCTGACCTCATAAGACCAAGGCATCCTATAGAGATACTTGTATTCATTGATTTCGTGACACCCTACATTGCAAACATTTGTGTCAAATATCATTAACTGAGACAGGTCTTAAAGTCCGAGGTACGATGAGGCAAGAGGACCACCAACATATGTTTGTCTCTCTCTTTCTCTCTAACCGGCATTGTTAGCAGAAAACTGCAGCTGCAGGGTTGAATGTGTTTGGAACTCCTTATTACAGAGATCTGTGAGGGCAGAGGTCAAGATGTATATTTAAGGCTAAGATAGATAAATTCTTGATCAGTAGAGGAATCAAGGGGCACAGGAAAAGGGCAGGAAAGTGGACGTGAGGAGTTTTGAATCAGCCACGATCCTATTGAATGGCAGAGCAGGCTCAATGGCCAAATAGCCAACTCCTGTTCCTATTTCTTAGAGAGCAGAGAAGGAAGGCAAGCCTGGAAGTTGCTGCAATTGGAGCATGGATCATACAAGATGGCAGAGCAACTAGATGTGGATCCAGAAATCTCTTGAAGACCAATCGATTTATTTCAACATTGATTGTGTAGCATTGCTCTCGTGTTCGGTATCAGGAGATTTCATCAATATCTGTTTGGTAATCAATTCAGTGTGGAAACAGATCACAAACCATTGGAAAGGATCTGGCATGAACCATTGACAAAGACACCACGCAGACCAAAATGACTTCTGATTGAAATTCAGGGAGATGGCTTTGACATCTGCTCCAAACCTCATCATGCCAAATGAGCTTGGTATCCTGAGAGGCACATCTTCAAAATAATATATGTACATGTGCCTAAACCTCTACATCTGGACAAACTGTCACAAATAACAAGTGAACAACTAAATAACTAAATCAGAGCAGATGCGAGAAATAATCAGGGATTAATGGTGATATTGTTAAGTTAGTGAAGATGAGCAAAGCATACCAGAGCTATTAACCACAGCAACACAGAAAATCTCGTTACCCACTATAGATTGCACAGTTCTTTGGTCCAAAGTTAACAATGATCTAATTACTGTAAATGGACACACCTTCATTTTGGTCATAATTATTTCTCAAAATTTCCCCGTGTTGGATCAGGAAAGAACACTTCAAGTGCATTGATGGCAAACATGGTAATGCCATATTGTTTGTTCAATATACCTGAAGAAATAATTTCTAATAATAAGCCATTGTACACAGGAAGACACTTCAGACATGTGTGCACCTCATGAGGTGTAAACTGTGCGATATCTCCATTCCCTTAACCACAGATCAAATGGTCTCATCAAATGAATGGTTTGTACCATCCTGAAGTGCACCACCATTCACCCTGAAGTCAGGGACAACAAAAAGTGATTTTCATATCACTATCCAACAGCTTAGAGCTACATTTCTGGAAATGGTGTGACACCAGCCACAGAGATAATGCCAAGTGAGAATGATCTCGACAAGCCACCACTTACCTAAATTCTCTAACATTCAGGACACTCTTTTCAACAAAAAAAAAGGACGGAGATAGTACGTGCCCAGCTTTCAAGAGTAGAACTATCTCAACTACAAATAGGACTAAATGTCAGAGTCACACACCCCACAATGGGAACCTGGTGACTCACAGATGTGTCCAATGCACGCAGTGAACCCAGGTCTTATGAAGTCACAACACTTTACAGAGCGACTTTGAGGAGGAACAGAATCCACCGAAGGGAATTGTACAATACTCCACTTGTGCACAATAAGCATGAAAGAATACACCCAGGGCAACAATCAGCACAAAGATCGTACATCTTTAGACCATGAACAGCCAAAGGCAGAATCTACACTTCCAGAAGGTTCCACTAAACAAAGATCTGACAAAGTTGTCAAACCGCCAAAATGATACATGGACTATTAGACTTCTTTACTTACAGATTTTACTATCTGTATTTGTATGCGAAGAATTGCGTTATTACCCTATGTTAATGAGTTTTCAACTGTAGCGTACACGAGCTATCTTTGGGGGAAGAAAGGGATGGTTATGTTATCAGCTTTGACGTGATTTCCTTTTAAGGGATGAACAAGCAAATAAGTCAGGTAGCCAGATGGCGTCACATGATAACAGGCTCTCTATTTTGAAGCATTAGAGGTACAGGCTATGTCTGGAAACTATGTACCGTGCATGTTAGTTTAGTTGTAAATAAACCCACTAGAGATCTTCAAATAAACAAAATCCACATGCTTCCTTTGCGTTAACATTGATATATCACAAGAATTCTACTCATCTCGTCTCTTACTGCTGCCAGAGTCATGTATGTCATGACTGACATGAACCTCATTATAACATACCTTGTGTGTTGTCTGCATTAGAAATTACAGGTTGAAAAGTGGAAACAACACAGACACCATCTTGCTTAGGAATCTGCTGTGATTCAACTATGTCAGGAAACCTTGTATACTGCCTGATGAACAGCAATACATCGTTCAGCATCATAAATGGTTCCACCATTTTACTACTTTAGAAGTACGTTTTAACGCAAGGCGTTGTTGAATTCCAACTTAATTTACTTGCCTTGGTTACATAAAACATAAAACATTTTTCTGAGCAAAGACATATCCGTCTCAGTTTTAAGGTATTTAATTGACTTTCCCTCAACAGGACATTCAGGAAAGCTTGATTTCTGCTACCCTTTGCATGAAGAAGTGCTTTCCAACATTACACCAGAACAGACTATCTCTAAAGCACAAGATTGTTCACCATGGGCACGTTAGATAAAGTCAGAGAGATGCGCAGCACGGAAATAGACCCTTTGGTCCAATTTGTCCACGCCGACAAGATATCCTAAATTAATCTAGTCCCATTTGCCAGCATTTGGCCATATTCCTCTAATCACTTCTTATTCATATACCCATACAGATGCCTGTTATATGTTGTAATTGTACCAGCCTCCACCACTTCTTCTGGCAGCTCATTCCATATGTGCACCACCCTTTGCATGAAAAGGTTGCCCCATAGGTCCCTTTTAAATCTTTCCCCTCTCACTTTAAACCTATGCCCTCTAGTTTTGAACTCCCCCCTCATGGGGAAAAGACCTGGGCTCTTCACCCTATCCATGCCCCTCATGATTTTATAAACTTTTACAGGGTCGCCCCCTCAGTCTCCAACTCTCCAAGTAAAATAGCCCCAGCCTATTCAGCCTCTCCCTATAGCTCAAACCCTCCAGCCCTGGCAACATCTTTGTAAATCTTTTCTGAACCCTTTCTAGTTTAACAATATTCTTCCTATAGCAGGAAGACTGAAATTGACCGCAATATTCCAAAAGTGGCCTAACCAATGTCCTGTACAGCCACGACATTGTAAGCTACAGAAAAACATTTATCTAAAGCCTCATTAGCCTGATATTTATGCCTAATAATAGTGGAAAGAAAAGGTCTAAATCAACATCTCACTTTAATCATTCGGTTTAAGTTCAAAATGATCTTACAATTTCAACTTTAACATAAATCACCTCTCCTTTTTCAAACGATGCACAATGTCAGCAGTGGAAATGTGACTGTGGTGAAGCCATTAACGAGTGCGCGTGCGCACACGCGAACACGCACACTGACGCACGTGCACACGCACACACACATGTGCTCACACACACACACTCCACACATGCGCGCACAGACACACACATTCACACACACAGACACACGCACATACAAACACACACAGACACACACGCACACACACTCACACACACAGACACACACAATTTTAGTTGCCTGTCAATACGTCAGCCATCAGACATAGTTAGCCCATTCAACTCATCAGCAGCATCTGCTCTCTAATTCAATCGATGGCTGATTATTAATTGTTAATTGGGAATGATTAAAGCACAGTCCAAATTGCAACAACTAATAAATTTACGGCATGCCAAAGTGTGGAGTTCTCTTTTTACAACCTCATTGAGGAACTGCTGTTCATGGGATTCTGCTGTTATTTTCCAGATGCATGTTACTATTAACATTTTCATTTCACGTTGAGTTATGTTGGAATACAAAACATTTGCCACCTACTGCTCACGTTGATAGCAGCAGAGTTGATAGCAGTATTCCTAAATCCCATTTCAGCTCAGCTATTTATGCTCAAGAATGTGGAAGTGCAGAATTTATTTTTCTGTTTTCTGGTAATGAGGCTGTACTGACACTTTGAATTCCCTCACTGTCATTTACAGGAGAAACAGAAGTGGGGAAGAATAAAAGACATGGAAAAGTGCTGTTATTCATAAGAATTACATTCAGATCAGTAATTTATTTTAATAGAATATCAGCTTATCCCTTGAAGAATTAGTTTCAAATCTCAAGCCATGTCACCTTTCAGAAATTTCAAACAAAAGCAAGTAACTCTTTTACAAGGGAAGGAAATGTAATCAGGAAAAGAGACGAGCTTGCTATCAGAATAATGCAAAGCTTATTTGCATTTTCTGTTATTAATGAGTAAGTCATTTCACAACTATTTCCCGTAAATTGTCGGTCTTTCGTAGCACATTGGTCATTGCGGGGAGGTAATGGTTGAGTGGTATTCTCGCTGTTAACCCAGACACCTATCTAATGTTCTGTGGACCTGGGTTTGAATCCCACCCCAGCAGATGGTGCAATTTGAATCCAATAAAAATTTAGAGTTATGAGTCTATTGATGACCATGAATCCATTGTCAGCTACACCAATTTTGTTCACTAAAAGCTGACCTAGCCAGCGATGACCTCATCCCATGAGTGAATGAAAAGACATTATTGACAGATTCTTCCTCCCAACCAACACCATCAAAGAGACTAATGGATTGCTCATCTTGGTGCCTTTTCTGTTTATGTCAAGGTGACAACAGATGCCATAAACTCAATAGCTGTGCCTCTTGATCCTCCAAACACAAATACGCACCACAATTTGATGGAAAAATAATTGGAATAAGCCACAGCATATGAAACAGTGGACCGGAAGTGATACAACCAGTGTCTGGTATAAATTCAAGGTGCCCTCTTTTTATTTAAATGTGTTACTATGTAAGAAATGTGGTAGCCAATTTGTTCATAACAATATATAAAAACAACATGACAATGGATAATCTATTTTTAGTGACATACAAAGAAAGAAAAACAGTTGTATAGCAACTTTCAGAACCACAGGCCATTCCAAAACATTACAGGCAATAAAGCACTTTTAAAGTATGATCACTACTACAGTATAGGAAAAATGGCAAACAACTTGCACACAGCAAGCACTGAAAAATGTGTTAATCACCAAAGAACATGGGGGATAACTATTTGCCAAAGTACTGAGGAAAACTTTTCCATTCTTCTTCAAGATAACGCCATGAGGTTTTTTACATCCACCTGAAAGGCAGATGGGGCCCCAGTTTATCAAAGCATTCAAAAGATGCTGAAGTGTCATCTTTATTTTTGTGCTGAAGTCCTGGATTGGGACTTGAAGCCATAACCTTCAGAAGCAGAAGCAAAAATGCTACCAACTGACCCACAGCTGGCACAAAATGTTGGTTCAGGAATAAATATTATTCGAGACAATGAGGAGAATTCCCTTCTTCCTCTTCAAAACACTGCTATGGAGTATTTTATGTCTGTTTGAAATAACAGGCTAGGTGGCACGGTGGATCCATAGCACTGCTGTTTCACTGTGCCAGGGATCTGGGGTTGATCCCAGCCTTGGATAACTGTGTGGAGTTGCACATTCTTCCCATCTTTGTGTGGGTTTCCTTCAGGCGCTCTGGTTTCCTCTCACAGTCCAAAGATGTGCAGGAGCAAATTACTGCAGATGCTGGAATCTGTACTGAAAACAACAAATGCTGGAGATCATAGCAGTCAGGAACCATCCAGAGAGAGAGAGAGAGAGAGCAATCTAATGTTTTGAGTCTAGATGACTAGAGCTCTGACCAAGGGTCATCTAGACACGAAACGTTAGCTAGCTCTCTCTCCATAGATGCTGCACGATCCACTGTGAACTCCAGTATTTGTTGTTTTCAGTTCAAAGATGTGCAAGTCAGGTGGATTAGCCAATGTAATTGGGGGGAGTTCCAGGTGAGATACTTCAGAGCTTCGGTGCAGACTTGAGGGGACAAATGGCCTCGATCTGCACTGTAGGCATTCAATATTTCGTGTAATTCCCCACCCTCAAAGTAATTGTTTCAGTCCCCACTATAGTATGATACTATCCATTTGAAAAGCATAATATGGCTTTATATGTGTGATTTACACTTCCAAAGAACTCCAATGACAACTAATTCATAGTTTGGTTCGTCACTATGTCTATCAGTGCACTCCATCACATGACATAATGGGATGACATATGAACCATTATTTCAAACCCTGCACTATTTTTGAAATTCAAAACATGTCTGGCCTCCTGCTTATGCAAAGAGTCTGCTAATCTCTAGTGCCAGTTTACAAAGAAAAATGAGGCTGAATGTGACATATAATTCAGTTACTTAAAGGTTTTGAAGTGGAACAGTAAATCTAGGGGCAAAGACTATTATCTAAATTTTATATGCACACTCTCAGCAGTTTCAGCAACACTTTATGGAGCACATCTATTCGACTATCATCCATTTAAAACAAAACCAAAGAGTTATATTCAGTCTTCTGTTTTTGCCTGTTGTAGATTGGTCTTTTGAGTTTCATTTACAATTTTTTTTATAAACCTATATTCCAGCATTGCTTCAAATGCCAGTTTGATTACACTCTGAGGCTACGGTGAAAGAACATGATGGTGAAGTTTGCCATAAACTGACTTTTCAGAAACGATTACAGAAAAAGGAATCATGCAGGTTGAAAAACTGACAGATCCTAGTTAATTTTCCAAAGACGTACTTTCCTTGTGATTCTCCAATCAACAATCACTCTCTCTCACTTTTGATGGCTTCATTTTATCCAATCTTTAATTTACATTCTTGGTCTCACTTCAGCAATGCCTTCATTTTTAATGACTTTTGCTTTACTTATTAGGCCCAAATGCTTTTTGTTTCATCTGAGAACCCTGTTACACTGCAGGAGCCCAAGGCTGCAAGGCACTTAGTTACTGCTAAAACATATGAAGAGGTTATTCTGACACTTTCTTGCGCTAAAACCGAAGAGGATACTCAATTATATTATCAAGTCAGCAAAGCTTAAAGACCCGGCTTAATCAGAAGCTTCTCAATCAACATCTAGCCATGATTACAAGGTCTCAATGTAATACAAAAGAGACTAGTTTTAATATTCCATAAGTTCAGAAGGAAGAGCTGTGAGAAATGTTGTGATTAATTTTGGGACTTTAGCTCTGTGAGAAAAGATATCTCCTTTTAAAGATAAAGGATAAAGAGTCAGTGAAAATAAATTGTATCATACTTTGGGATATATAATAGTCAGACACCAACAGAACATACATTCACAATCAAGAAGGGTAAATAAAAAACTTCTTTCATAAAAGGAGATCAGTAACTGGTCTGCATGGAACAGCTGGATTGTCAGAAAAATTAACTGAGACAATGTTGCTGGGTTCGTTTAAGCACAAATCAAAATAGTTAACTCAGGATTATTGAATAAATAAAACGAACTAAGTTTTTAAAAACGGAAATTTATAAAAGCTCAGACCTCAGTCTTCTTTCTAATCTAAAGGGTTGTCAAACCCAAACTTAATGTTTCCTAACCTTAACTTGTGTCTTCCACATTATTTGTTTTTACCTTGATGGACTCTTACATCATGGTCTTTAATCCTTCATCTCAGCTTCTCAATAAAATACATTGCAAGCATGAAGCTTAAGGATATAGAGATCCACAGTAACTGTTCTTATGCTAGTACAACTCCTGGCTGATGCAAGGGGAGGGATAACACTATTGTGCTGGCTTTTTATTATCTAAATGCAAGACAAGACTTTCTATTTTCAGATGAAACTCCCTCCAAAGAATATGGCAACATGGATTGTGTCAGTACTTTTTACAGGCAGATTACCTGTTGTCCTCTTAAAAAAAGATAATTTCAGCAACTTAAAAAAAGTTATATTAGCACAATAGCAATTCAATTAGTATTGTGTTTATGATTACAGATGTTCACATTGATTGCAAAATGTAAAAACAATTTCAAACAATTTAACAGGCATCAACATTCTTTGACAGTAATTTAAGTTTGAAAAGACCTCAAGATCTTAACGTACTTGTTGAAAGGAATTCTGCAATTAACATCACAACTTGGAAGAAATATTAAGAATAGTCATTTTAAAATAATAAAAGATCAAAGTTGTGTGTGGTATTTATGTTCAGACTGATTATGTCCGCAATTATTATTGTGTAACCAGAGACCTTCAGTCCATTTTTCTCCTAGCATTCCCAATACTTTTACACAATTTCCTCTCAAGAGAGGAGAATGGGTATGTTTTAGAATCATCGAGTCATAGAGCACTAAAACAAGCCCTGCGGTCCAAAGTCATCCACGCTGACCAAGTTTCTTAAATTAACCTAGTCCCATTTGCTTACATTTAACCCATATCCCTCTAAACCTTTCCTATCCATGTACCTGTCCAAATGTCTTTAGCCATGCTAAATTGTACATAATGTCCAGGGATGTGTAGATTAGGTGGATTAGCCGTGGGGAATGCAGGGTTATGGGGAATAGGTTTGAAGGGTGGGTGTGGGTGGGATGCCCTTCAGTGGGTCAGTGTGGCTGGGTGGTTGAATGGCCTGCTTCCACACTGTAGGGGTTTTATGATTCTATGATCCACATACCCATTCCACCTACATTTTATGGCTTTCTAAATGTTAGTCCAATAACATATACCAAAGAGGAGTTGTATCCTTGTCGAAACACATGCCTGAAGTTTATTGTTTAGATGACAAAACATCACAGGCTGATACAGAGAATCTGGGTTCTATACATATTGATGTTGCTGTGCATTATGTGCACAGCTGACTAACAACTGATGACACTCCATTGACTCAATTAAAAAAGGAGACTGGCTGAAATCAAAGCAGGTATTTTTATACTGGAATGGCACATGTCAGGATGTCATGTCGCTGTCTTAAAAGGACAGGCTTGACAGCTCTGGAATCTAAGCTATGGTCAAACACCATCTACCGCATCACCCTAATTCCCAACCCATCCCATCCTAGCTGCACTGCCATCCTATCCAGCTTATCCACTCATTCCACCACTCCATCCACTTATCCATTTCTGAAATTCAAACTTATTAACTTTAATAGCACACTATTAAGCTCTTTAAGACCATAAAACACAGGAGCAGAACTAGGCCATTTGGCCCATCAAGTCTGCTCCTCTATTCAGTAAGATCATGGCCGAACGGATAATCCCCAACTCTATTAACCTGCTTTCTCCCCAGGATCTTTCACTCCCTTACTGAGTGAAAAATATGACTATCTCAATCTTGAATATCCATAATAAGCCAACCAAGACAACCCTCTGTGGTAAAGAATTCCACAGATTCACTCCCTTAGAGAATAAATTCCTCCTCATTTCTGTCTTAAATTTGCAACACCTTATTGTAAGATAATGCCTCTGGTCCTAGACTGTCCCACAAGAGGAAATAACCTCTCCACATCTAAACAGTCAAGTCCCCAGAAGCTTGTAAACTGAAGTAAGACTGTTCGCATTTATCCAAATTCCAATGAGTACTAGCCAACCTACTCAACCACTCCTCATAAGAAGTCCCAAAATAACAGGTATCAGCCTAGTAAACATTCTGTAGATTGCCTCCAAAACTGTGATATCTATTCTTCAGTAAGGAATCCAAACTATTACAACTATGGTCTAACTAATGCCTTATATTGTTTCAGCACAACCTCCCAACTTTTAGACTCCTCTCCATTTGCAATAAAGCCTAACATTCAATTTAGCTTCCTTATTACCCACTGCACTTGGGTGCTAGTTATTTGTAGTTCATGGATGAGGACTCCCAAATCCTGTTCTCTAGTTTTCAGCGTTAAAATAATATTCAGCTCCTCTATTCTTCCTGCCAAAGTGCACAACCTCACATCTTCCCACATATCCATCTAACAGATGTTGAATATGTCAGTGAATGAATCAATTCACCAGAACATGACATGCATGCTGCAGAAAGGGAGGTATGGAATGGCTTACCCCACTACCCACACCATGAGGATTCAGCTTGATTTAAGATACATTGCACATATGACACCTCAGGCATTAGATATTGAGCCCAGATATTGAGCAGGGCAGGCACAAGGTGTAACAGCAGGTGTGAGAAGAGCAATCCAATGTGGGTTACTGCCTTCGCAGGATTTGCAGTGAGGTTTCCGCTGGCAGTCAGTCTGGAATTAGGGGACACAACTCATAGATAAGGGGGTCTCCCATTGAAGGCAGAAATGCAGGGAAACCTTTACATTCAGAGGGTTATTAGTCTGTGAAATTCTCTTCCCCAGAGAGCAATGGAGCTCGGATCACAAAATATTTTCAAGTTTGAGTTAGATATTCTTGAGGAGTCAGTAGATTTGGTGGGTAGACAGAAAAATAGAAGCCACAATCAGATCAGCCATCAGCCAACCTAATGGTGGAGCAGGTATGCAGGACTGAATAGCCTCCTCCTGCTCCTCATCTATTGGTTAGCATTTTCTGTCTGTGGTTAGGGCCACAAGTTACTCTTAATGAAAGACACTAAACTCTCACATTAACAATACATTCTGGACCATTATCTCCTTCAGTGCTTCTTCCAGGTGCTATTCAACATGAAGGAGAACTCATGCTTCAGCTGAAGAGATTCGGTAGATGGTTATCAGCAGCAAGTTGTCAGGACCCGTAGCCTTTGCAGTATCCAGTGTCTCCAACCATTTCACGATATAACATGGAGTGAATCGAATTGGCTGAAGACTGGCATCAGTAATACTGGTGATCACTGGAGGATGCCAAGGTGGATCATACACTTGGCGCTTCTGGCTGAAGATTACTGTGAGTGCTTCAGCCTTATCTTTTGCACTGATGTGCTGGGCTCTTCCATCATTGAGGATTGGGATATTTGTGGAGCCTGCTTCTCCAGTAAGTTATTTAACTGTCCACCACAATTCACAACTGGATGTGACCGGACTGCAGAGCTTAGAACTGATTTGTTGGTTGTGGGATCGCTTAGCTCTGTTTATCACTTGCTGCTTATGCTGTTTAACGTGCAAGTAGTCCCGTTTGGTAGGTTCACCAGACTGACATCTCATTTATGCTAGTCCTGACATGCCCTCCTGCCCTCTCCATTGAAGCAGGGTTGATCCCCCAACTTGATGATAATGGTTCTGTGGGGGATATGCTGTGCCATGAGGTTGCAGATTGTGCTGGAATACAATTCCGCTGCTGCTGATGACCCATGGTGCTTCAAGTAGCACACAAGTGGCCAATCTTGAGTTGTTAGGTCTCCTTTAAGTCTGTCCCATTTGGCACGGTGATAGTACCACACAACACAATAGAGGGTATTCTCACTGTGAAGGCAGGACTTCATCTCCAATTTGTTCAATCCGTGAAGGGTAATAGTGAACCAGAAGGTTTTTCTAACAATCAAAATGACTTTGTGGTCAACTAGATTTAAATTCAAGATTTATTGATTGCATTAAATTTCACGAGACACCATGGCATGATTTAAATCCACATCCCCAAAGCATTAATCTCAGCTGCTGAATTGCTTATCCAATTACATAACCCCTCCCTCCAACTGATGACTATGTTTGCAGCAATACGTCACTTCATGCAGGATCAGAGTTCTTCCAGTCTTGTATCTTGTTTGCAAGATAAACAGCAAATCAAATTTCAGGCACCTCCATTACCCATTGTATGATGTGAATAGTAAATGAAGGATATATTTTCCGATCTCTTGAAACAAAAAAATTCTGGCTTTAAATTAAAGCTTCATAATGAGAATAGAAAACCAATTAGTGAACAGTAAAAGAAACAGTGATTAAATATTTCAAAAACGCATTTCACTGTCCAACTTAATTGGATTGTGAAACTTTACCCTGTCACTGTTGGGTTTCTACTTTCTAGTCAAACATTCTCTAATTGACTTCTGTCATCAACTGACAGTTGTGTCAAGGTTTATTGCCATCGACTTAGCACTCGGCAACCTTTCACTTCTTAGGGCATTAAGCAGTGATCCTGTGTGATATTTGAACTTCTTATTCACTTGTGATTTTTCATAATTAATTTGGCTGACTTGATTGCAACAAAACAAGTTTGAATCTTCGTGTAATTTCAAAATCTGCTTGACAACTTTGCTTCATTGAGAATCAGGTGGCATCACACACCATATTTCTCTGGAGTCAGATGTAATCCCACTGAAACTACCTCTCTGGCAACCAACCATGTTTCTCTCATCTTAATTAAGTGATCGTTCTTGATTCCTGATTCTCAACAATTACTGACAGTCTTTTTCTGGGATGAGGTGAGATGTGTTTGTTTGACTCCTGGTTACCAAGTCACCCAGCCAGAACACAAACAGGCTTCTGTCCTCATCTCACATCAACATCTTCATTTTCTGACACAACCATTAGGTGACAATCAGGTGTGTGAATGTTGGCTTGGAGGCAGAAAGAGCGATTCCATCTCTTCCATTTCTACCTCAGCAGAAGACAAGCCTACTCTTCACAGACTAAGACGGAAACTCTTCCTTGTACTGATGACTTCTCAGCAAATTTTGGAGTGGCATGGTGGCTCAGTGGTTAGCACTGCTGCCTCACAGTGCCAGGAACCTGGGTTTGATTCCACCCTCGGGCGACTGTGTGAAGTTTGCACATTCTCCCTGTGTCTGCGTGGGTTTCCTCCAGGTGCTCTGGTTTCCTCCCACAGTCCAAAGATGTGCAGGATAAGTAGATTGGCCATGTTAAATTGCCCATAGTGCTGAGGGATGTGTAGATTAGGTGGGTTATAGGGGGATGGGTCTGGGTGAGGTGTTCTGAGGGTCGGTGTGGACTTGTTGGGCCAAAAGGCCTGTTTCCACACTGTAGGGATTCTATGATCTTCTATGATGTATGATGAAACTTCTCCCAAAGGAGGGAGGACTTTGTCTATGTCACCTGGGCATTAAAATTTCCTGCTCAGATTGTACAAATTAACATCTGGTGACATGATTTGCAACTCTTTGAGTTGAAGGAAGGAAAATTAGTCTGTCTCTGAAAGGGGCAGTGACCCTTGCAGACAATGTTCAATTTCCAGCTGATTTAAAAATCTATTTCAGAGCATTTTTACCTGTTAAACAATATGACCATTGGTAAAACATGCATGCAGTCTCTAAGTTTGTTATTTTGGGATCAAGATCTACAACAGTTTTGCAACAATGAAAATAAATGCTACAACCATTATGACTAGTTAAGAAAGAGCTGAGGAGATGAGGAAATTCTTTCCTCACAAAGGATTCTGACTCTTTGGAACTGTTCCACCAAAGATATTAGGAGCAGAATCATTGAATATGTTTGAGGCAGAGTGATTCTTGATGAGAAAAGGGTGGGAATGTTATCAGAGGTAGGCATTAACGGGGTGTGATCAGATCAGCCAAGGTCTTATGGACAGGCAGAGCAGATTGGGCCAACTGGCCTACTCCTGCTCCTCATTCGTATTTTTGAATGTAACCAGCAAATTGTGATATAACGATAAAAATAAAATGCTTTAAACTCTGCTGCAGTTTGGATCAGTCCATGACTCTTTGCTACAGGTTTACAGTTGGCTGAACACCACAAAGCAAACTCCACTAGTTCTTTTGTCACTTAATAAGAAAGAACTCTGGTCGGCAAAACCATAATCATAAAGCTATTACACTGAAAATCAATAGTGATTTATCGCAGGATCATTCTTGACAACATGCAACATATTAGCACTTATTTGTTTTTGCTATCATGAGACCGAAATCTGACCAGCTACACATCCCATCTCATGATATTAACTGGGGACAGCGTTTTTTTTAAATCTCTGGATCAATTGGAGTTTAAGCTTATTCTTGCAGCCAATATCAAATCTGTCACTTCCAAAGCTTTCATGAGGTTTGACTATGATTTCTGTCCATTTAAAATTGTTTTTCTCAAGGAACTGCCACACTTTTGGTTTACTTAGTTAATCAATCATAGACCTTCAGGAGTGTTTCTGATAAATGAAGTTTGGGTCTTTCATACACGCTTACATTGTGTCAACAGAGGCCTCAGAAGAATAATAAAGCACTATAGTGGTCAAAAAGTCATGGAGAAAACTGCGATTCAATTAGTCAAGTTTGTAGTTTAGAAACCAAAGAAAAGAGACTTACACCTCCACTAAGCTTCAAACTAACATGGACTAAATGGATAAAAGCCTCTCTTAACTAACTGTATAGATGAACATCTGGCTGGAATCGCAATCCAGTTCCATGGAGCCAACAGCCTGAACTCCCATTAAGTGACAGTGGAGCTTCCAAAATGGTAGCAGGACTCAACATGGAATGCTGTCACATACATTTCCAACAAATCAAACTTTTGCCTGGAGCGGAATGAGAATTGGAAGGCTGGGACATGATTCATACATGAGGAAAACCTGAAGTCAGTGGGAACATTTAAATTCAGTGTCGAATTCAACTAGATATCACTTTGATGGCTTCAAGGAACTTGACTCGCAGTGTGGAAGTTGTGAATTTATAAAATAAACACAAAGGCTCTTGACCAGCAAGTAAGGTCTGAATTGTCATGATGTGAAGTTATTTAAATCCCAATCTATTTTTTAAAACAGAGTGACCAAGAATCAGCTTGCTTGTGTGAATGAGAACACTTTCAGTAACTGTGTGTTGACATTTCACAGACGGGCCTTCATGACTACTTGGGTGATTCCCACAAACTGTCATTACCTCGGAAAGGTGGGTGGTATATATACTTTATACACTCCTATAGGGGAAGGCAGTGTGGAGAAACAGGAATGTTTTGAGTTCAAAATTTAATTGGCAGCAAAGAAAGGGTATTTTTAAAAGTTGTTAATGAGGCAAGAATAGAATTTTTATTTTGTAAGAGGTTAAACGCTTTACACTGAAAGGAAAAGATCATTGCGTGAAATAAGATTTACTATGAAGTCCACACAGGGAAATCTGTATTAGATGTGAAGAGCATTATTTATTTAATCTTTGCATGACTCCTGAGGTCTGAGGCATTCAGGGTGAATACTAGGTAAGTTTACATAAGTAGACATGGAGGTATAAGAGGCCACTGGGAATGAATAAACTGCACGAGTTGACATGAGGATATTGGAGCCATACAAGGGGGAATGGGGTTAGATGAAGTCCTACATTGGTATTTGGATGAGTTATAGAAGAGAGCATAAAGGCTGTAAAGAAATCCTGGCAACTGGGAGTCAGAAATCCAAGGCATGCCATCTATCCAACAGGCCTCTATGATCACCTATGGCCTGTTTCCTGGGGTACTGAGCATGCCCTCCCAGTTTCATCCTCAGCCCAGTCCCATTCAGGAATCTTTTTTGAGAGATGAGTAGTGCACCGACCCAAGTTACAAATCTTGGGAGGAAAGGTCCATGCCTACAATTTTAATTGTCAATAATGGACACTAAACACACTCTCTCATTTTGAGAGCTCACACCAATGACCAAGCAGCATATGTGAAATGTCCATTTAAGCGTGTGCAAAGAGAATAAGTACTCCACGTTGAGTGTAAATGTTTGGAATGCTCCATTTCCTAACACTGCCATTTCCTTAATTGGAAGGTACAG